GAGAGAGTTCGTGAAGAGCACGCGTAATTTCGCCGCGGGGAAAGCGTTTGTGATAGCACGCCTAAGGCGTCGTCATACCAGCTCGCTTATTGCATCTCCTAAGGCAGGCAGTCTTATGCATAAGTCTTTCTTTTCTGCGGTTAAGGTAGCAGGCTTCTTGGTGCGTTCGCCGATATTATTGAGGATGAACCTTTCTGGGTATCCGTTTTCAAAAAGCGTGTTCTGCAGCCGTTGGAGTTCTGCTTCGACAGTTTCCTGAGAGCAGATCGGTCGTACTCTAGTTGTACACGTTCAAATGTTCAGTGTTTTGCAAGGTTAAGGGCCTGACGAAGGATTGCCGAAATGCATATTTTGCCTAATAGACTGACTTTTCAAGTTAACTATGGGAATGTTTACCGAACCTCAAATTCGCTTTAGATCCCCCACTCAAATTTTGATCTTCACATTTCATCCGATATACCGTCCAGTGTATATTAGATATAATATTACATATGTGGAAAGTTTCTCTTCTTATCAGACGTCTTACTCTTTTCTTTCTCTGAGGTCCTATCTGTGACAGTCATGTAGCCTCGTCACCACCTACCAAAGAGGAGGCCTGGAACTCCTCCGGCCCACGTGATGCAAACCTCTCCTCCTCCTCTCTCCTCAGCGTCACCGAGGAGTGTTCAACCAATCAACGCCAATTCTATCGCACGCATTCCGTGCGGCCGCGCTTCACCTACGCTTCCCTCATCCGTCAGGCCATCTGCGAGTCGCCCAATAAGAGTCTCTCGTTGGGTGAAATCTATGCTTGGCTACAAAAGGAATTCCTCTACTTTAAGCAGAACGAGGCCACCTGGAAGGTGAGAAACAAGAAGGCGGCATCTAGTCGTGTTTATTCGGGACTTATCTGTGTATACAGCATATTTCTTTCTCGGAGTGGGCAAAAGTAGCTTATGTAGGCCCACTCATATACCCAGCAGTTTTTTCTGCAAAAACGGTGGTTATAGATTATTGGGGGTTGGGGAAATAGGATAGGCAGAGGAGGAAATTTTCAGAAGTAAGTGTAAAGGGAAGAAAATGTAGTCGAAGTTACTTCCGGCAGCCGCTGGGCGTAAGTTGTTCCGCATGCAAATTGAAGGTGTGCGCGGCGCTTCACACAGATTAAGAGAATCTACAAATATAAATAAACAACACTTCTAAATATCAAAGGGGATGCAGCAAGCGAACTCTTAAGCAGACGCCTCAAGCAAGCCGTAGCACAAATCTTCCCCGCAGCGAAAATTCAGGTGTTAGTTTCAACCAACCCGGTACTGCACGGTGAGGGCAAGGATAAGCTGCCAACTCGGACCACTTCTATGTGCATCTTCTCATTTACTTGTTCCTGTGGAGCTGGTTATATCGGGCGCACGAGTAGGCGCTTATCTAAAAGAATCCGGGAACACCTCCCGGCATGGCTAGCCAAAGGCGAAACCAAAAGCAAAAACAGTTCTCTCCTCGCACACATAGTTGACACCGGACATCGTGTCGACACAAGCTAAACCTTTAAGGTAATTTACAAGGTCCCACCAAACTACCCAAAGTCCCTGGGTCAACGTCTGCTGGCAACAGCAGAAGCGACCGCAATCCGATTGAGGAAATCGGTTTTGTGTGCACAAAAGAATCTCGTGCAGGCCCCCAACTTGGCATGGCCAACA